AAGGAGCAACCCTTTGAGACAGAGATTTTTCATCCGGAGTAATTCCTATGAGATTTACTTGAAATTTGTGCCTTTTTATTGCTATGATATGGGGTATTCCAGTTTCTTTAATTCTTCTTTCATTGAATGGCATCTAATTATTTCTAATTAGTCATAAGTAAGGTGACTATAAATACTTGTGGATAGGATTTTCTGGATATAATTCTTTATTTCTTTGAGATAAGTACTCAATCTTAGGCCATATGGTCCCTTTAAACAGCCAAAGTATTTTCTAGAGTAATAGAAAGTATAGTTATATAGTCAAAGAGATAGTAGTTAAATTTTTGGCAGCTTGATACAAGCTAGAGTCACCTAGGAAAAAGAAGCCTAAGTTGAGGGGCTGCCTCCCTCAGATTGGCCTGTAGCAAGTCTATGGGGGCATTTTCTTGATTAATGATTGATATGGGAGTGGGCAGCATATTGTGGGTAGTACCAACCCAGGGCAGGTGGTCCTGACTTGTATAAGAAGCCACAGACAGCAAATCAGTAAGGCGATTTCCTCTCGGTGCATCCAGATTTCTGCTTGAAATCCTACCCTACCTTCCCTCACTGACGGATTCTGATAGAGAAATGTAAACCAAGTGAAACCATGGCTTCCACAAATTGGTCAGTGTCTTACCACAGAAACAGAAAACAAAATTAGTCACTATATAATTTTACATTACCTATATGTGGAGAAGCAGCATGGTAGCAAGAAGCAGGTTCAGCAGCAGGATCAAGAAGCTGGGAGATCGTGTCTTCCACAGACAGCATGAGACAGGCATTTTTTTAAAATGCATTTTTGCCAACTATTAGTAATCCATGTTTCATTTCAGCTGCTCTAATGTACATGTAGTGCTTGCCTCTTTCCCTCCCCGTTCCTCTCTCCACTTCCTTTCCTTCAATACAGGCTTATCCTGTAGTCCAAGTTGGCCGGGAAATCACAATTCACCAGCCTCCTCCTCCCAAGTGTCAGAATTACCAACATGTGCTCAACCCCCAACAGTCATCTCCACTTTTAAATAATATAAAGCCATACGGAATTTGTCATCAAACCCAGTGACCCCAAGAGAAATACAGGGTAAATCTATGGACAATATGAGCATTGCTGTATATATACTTCCTGTTCTGATTTCTATGTGATTCAACAATTTAGTTCTCTAGTTGTCTGATCTTTATTATTTACCGTGGCTGCCCCTTAAAGCAACTGCTGTCCTAATGATTGTAACTGCTGGTAGCAGTGGTTTGGCCACAAGTTGACCAGCTTTTTCAAAGGTATTAAGGGAAACTTTATCTAGATCTCTATCCCTCTAAAGAACTCAAGATTCTGGCTGGGCGGTGGTGGCGCACGCCTTTAATCCTAGCACTTGGGAGGCAGAGGCAGGTGGATCTCTTTGAGTTCAAGGTCAGCCTGGTCTTCAAAGCGAGTTCCAGGAAAGGCACAAAGCTAAACAGAGAAACCCTGTCTTGAAAAACAAAAACAAAAACAAACAAACAAAAAAAAGAACTGAAGATTCAAAGGTTGAGGTGGTATTCTGCTGGCTCAGAGACTGAATAGCAAGTAGCCCACCTTCTCCCTTTGCTTGTGTCTTCCAAAAATCCAGAGGTCCTTCTACCCAGTCCCCACTTAAGAACACTTGCTACATGTAGTTCCTCCCTACCACTTCCTGTTAGCTACTTGCTGACTCAGCCTCCTGCTCACAGGTTAATTTTATTTAATCAAACAAATATAACACATCTTTGCATTAACAAAAGCAGTAGGAAAAAAATACAACATACTTTAAAATAATATTCCACAGCACAATTCAATCCTACATAGATGAAAATCCAAGGTTGTTACAGGCATTTGTCATGTAGCAAATTTTGATTGGGCTTGTAAGGTTCTTAATAACTTTTTTTCTGGCCAAGCCAAAAACTTTGCCATTTACTAGATTTATTGCACTGAGTTACAAGGTGACTAGACTAGAAAGTGCTTTAAGAGGATGTACAGAATTTAAATACCTAACATCATGTGTTTGCTTCTTGGCAATGTCAGGATTTGAGCAATTCATTGTACCCTTTTCATTTGAAGACAGTAAAGTATTGAAGGGTGGGTTCTACCCACTCCCTTGTGGAGAGCTGACTGTGCCTATTCTCTGGATCCCACTTACCAAGTATGACATTATCATTTTTACACTTCCTGGGAGTTTGTTAACTGGGCCCTTGCCTCTGTCCTGTTTTCAAAGCAAAGTTCTTGAGTTAACTCCCTTGGTTGTGTAGCATTAAAACTGAGATGTATTAGTCTACCTGGTTCTATTTCCATATCATATCAGACCCCTGAGAACATGATTAGCTGTGAATTTTGTACTTAAGACTTCCCTTCAAATATATGAGGTCCATATTTTAGCTTTCATGTATTTCGATTATGAGGAAGAGTGATCTGAACAACAGGGATGCAATTCAAGGCAGCCAGTTGGAAGAGGGTGGCATCATAAATCCACCAAGATGCAGAGAAGAGGCCCCATGGGACGAAAAGAATTGCAGGCTTCAATAGCTTTCAACTACCACCTTTTTAACAGTGTGCAAATCAAAGCGAGCTCTAAATCATACTGCCTGCATTGGTAGTCACTCATTTGCAAGAAAGGGAAGAAGAAATCTAGGGTAGCAGGGCAGCTGAGAGCCTAGCTCCATAAATTCTCCTTCAGCGTCTCATGGTACCTCGATGCTGTTTAGAAGGCTCTGTCTTCTGTTGCTTCCAGAGAACTTGGAGGAAGTGTCTTAATGGAGACCAATACTCCGAGGTGCTTCCCTCTGCCCTTGTATGGATAACAGCAATGTTTTGAAATCCTTTTCATTTTGGAAGCTTCTGGTTGAAAGCTGCCTCCCAATAAACATTAATAGTTGATTATGGAAATACTTTGCCTGCTGGTAAGTTTGAACAAGTGTCTTTTTTTGGCAGGCCAGTTTTCCCAAACTGATAATTCCCAAGTTCAAGGTTCATAGTTGCACATGGCATGTGTTCTACCCAGTGGTTATCAGAGATCAAAGTTCAGAGAACACCAGGACTTTGAATTCACACAGTCCCAAGGAAAAACAATGCATGGCCAGTTTTAATGAGTGAGAACAATGGGGGAAATATCTCTATGAATTTCTGAGGCTTCATGTGAAATAATGTGGGAACTTTTAGCACTCATTTCTTTTAGTGTTCTTTGGGGGGGGTTAACAGACTCAGCTTGTGTTACTGTGGATCTGAGACTGTTGTTGATTTTCCCTGTTACTTTATCTGTTGGTAATATCACATGTTTGAGACTCCTGAATTAATACAGAAGAAATGGATTTTGACTTGACCAATGATTATGTCTTATTTATCTCTCATCTTATCCCTGGACCTTCAATGTTTAAAGTCAATGTTATATACAAATAATAGAAGATCATTCTATTGACTTAGTAAAATAACCTGGGTCCCTAAATTCTGTTAATCACATTTTTCTTTATAGGAAAGCATAATTCAGAGATTATCTTAATATCTTACTAATTAATAGCCACTAAGATGGAACACTTGAACTTCTTTAGGTACTAAATATTCTTAATATTAGACTTATCTAATAAATTTTGATAATTGAGAAATAAGAAACAATATATAAGCATGCATCTACATATATATGGGCTTCATGGAGTTATGTCTATACTCTACTATTGAGCTACACCCTATCCACATGTGTGTATGTATACACACACAATTCTTTTACATGAAGAACTCACAACCTGGTGTGATTTGCAATGATCATGTATAGTTCCCTGGTGGCCTGGTGGCTCAGATTGAGATGGTCTTGTATAAGGCTCTACAGTTACTATGTGTGCTTTCTGCTCCCTTATACCGTAAGCACTGATGTGGTCACTAATTCTCTTCTGCCACCACTAATTCTTTACAGTGACATTGTTTGCTTGTTTTCTTGCTTTTTGTTTGAGTGGGCATGGTCCCTGAACATGCTAGAGAACTGCTCTATAAGATATTCTCCTCCCCAGTCCTGTACTAATGTTTCCAAATTATTTCAATGTATTAGGAAAGGAGGGGACTTAGAACATCAGAACGGTTGAAAGGGCGTGAGGGCCCTTTCTTCACAGATTCTGATGGGTCACCTCCTTGGGCTTTCTTTCTACATTTGTATACCACCCCTTGGCTACTCCATTCTGTACATGTCTTTTTGCTATGCCATGCCTCTATTTCCTTTATTTTAGGTTACAATCTATAGGCTATCCCTCCCACGTCTTTCCTTATGTTTACTCAAATCCTATGCTCCAAACCACAGCTGTGGATTTTAAACAACCAAATGTGATTGATCAAACCAACCAACCACCTACCCTCTTGGACTTGTTTGCCTAGACTATAAGTGTGTTTGAGACCAATTCAAATGGGTCACAGCAGTGTTTTCAGAACCCAGGGAAAAGGCCAGGGATGCAGTTCAATGATACAAAATTTACATGGGATAAAGAAGGCCATGGATTCCATCTCCAGCCCAGAGGGAAGGAGGGACAAAGGGAGGGAGGAAAGAGAAGGAAGGAAGGAAGGAAGGAAGGAAGG